ATCTGCCTGCACTCCTCATTGCCCCCGAAAGTCCCCCATGCATTGGGCCCATTGTCTCTGCGCCACCGTATTTTTGCCGGAGCTCCATCTGTTTCCGTAATTACTGTCATGTAAACTGACTTTTCCAAATTGTGCGATGTGCAAAGTAAAAGAGCGGCAAGGAATCTCTGATTAGCCTCCCGGCGCTGATCGTCGCTGATGCAGCCGTCTGTGGCGTTTGGAAAAGTGTCACATATCAGGAGACGGACGGTTTGAATTCCTATGCAGTCCGTGACCGCACCAGACTTCGTGCCCGCCGCAGTCCCGCGCTCTATTTCCAGCCCCGAATGGAGAAAATCTATCGCTCCTATTCGGTTGTGGCGTTTTTTTATTTTATTTTCCTATTGGAAATGATTGGAGAAGTTGCCTGCATTCTCCACCAACTGGGAGAAACAAACAATACAATTTACAATGAGTCTCAGTCATCACAGCCCGAACGCCTGGTTCATCGATTCCCGCTCAGCCCGGCTAGATAGTGGCTGATTTTTCTGCAAAAAACCCATCACGCTGTGGCTGAGGATGTTAGCCATCATCCTGACTTAGGATTTACATTAAGCAAGCCGGGATCATAATGAAAAATAACACTAACAATGACCAAACCGGCTTCCTGCAATCCACCTCCATGTGACTTCATCAATCTTCCCTACACGTTCAGCACCTGCTGCAGTCCTGTCAACTTCCTGACACGGGGTGGAGGCAGCCAGTCCTTCCTTATTAGTCTGTCAGTGATGGTGATGCTCACATCGGGTGCACAGGCTGAAATGGAGCCCAGGCCTGTAGCTCCGCACCCTGCTACTGAAATACACCCAACCTGATCCTAAATGACAATGTGGCAAGCACTGCCACAGCTCATTTACTCGTACACTCGGAGGGATCTAAACAGGCCAAAAGTTGCATCGCACCTCCAAAAGCTGCCGTGGTTTGACACAAACATCTGAGGGATGTGTTGTTTGTCATATGTGTGTGGATTTTCTTTTGTGTTTTGCCCTCTACGTGGGACGACAAGGTGATATTAGTTGTCGTTTTGATAGAAAATGTCACAAGTACGTGCCGCCTTGTTGTTTAGCAAAACACATCTCCATCTTTGACTTTGTTTTCCTGTTGGTGCGCCTTCGACAGCTTGTCATTAATAATTAAAAAAACATAATGGAAACAACCAACCATGTTGCCTTTTAACAGGAGAGTCAATTTGTTGTGGTGTGGTGGGAAGCAGGCTGCTTTTAGAAACACAATTCATGGGGAGGGATTTGTATTCGTGTTTGTCATATCTAACTGATAACGCCACAACAGAGCATCAAGCATGTATTGCAAATGAGCAACGGCAAAGCAAAATAAGTATTAAGGATTAGCCACTGACAAGGATTTTTTTTCCCCCTTCAGGTGCATATGTAGCAGGCCCTTCTCATTAGTGTTGACGTGAACCATGGCACACAATAACAGTTATTACACCAAGCTCACTTTTTCTGTCAGTTACTGAAGCTATAAAATGTCTGTGAAATTCAATCTAAACAGTAAAACCTTGAAATAGCCACGAACTGTTTTCCAGCTCAGGGTATGATTAAATTTTCTTCTCACCTTAAATGGTTTCTTCCTTATTCTGGGTTGGTTTCTATTGTTGTTGTGCGGTTAAATAAAAGCACTGATTGTGGAAAACGTTTAACAGAGGTAATACTGTATGTTCAGGACCCATCATCAGGACATTTTTTTTTTTTTGTTGTTTTGGTCTTGTCCAAACTTTTCTATCTATCTAAAGCTGTATTTATTTACTTTCTCGAATTGTTCCTGGTCTTATTGTACGTTATTCTGTGCATGTTAATGTAAGGGTGGAAAAAGTATCACTTCCATCAAAAATGTAATAACTTTCTCCGCCTCTGCTGATGTAACCAAGGCTGTGCGGGTGGGGAAAATAATATTCGCCAATAATATCATGGCTCACTTGACACACTTCCAACAAACCCCAATGGATACTGGGAAGTCCCGCCCAACATGACTTAATACTGTATTCCGTTTCACTGAGAAATATGTCTTAAAGAGACAGTTCGCCCAAATCAAAATTTCTATATTTATTTAGTAACACTCATATCACTCCAAATCTCTATGACGAGGTATTTTGAAAAATGTCTCAGTGTTTGGTTGTTTCTTATTTTTTATGCAATTTCACTGCATTTCATTGTTTAGGCAATCTACAGTTGAAACATTATTCAAAATACCTTCTTTATGTTCCTTAGAAGAAAAGGGCATACAGGTTTGGAACAACCACGAGTAAATAATGACAGAATTTTTATTTTTGGATAAACAGTCGTTTTCATTTTATTGCAGACATTATGAATCCAATTACTTGTTTTTGTTTTGTTTTGATGCCAAAAGATCTGATGTAGAAATATGTAGTAAACTTTTATCTAAGTAACCCAAAAAAATTCACCAGTTTTCAGCATGGCAAAGATCAGAGCTTTCGCTCATTTCATTTTTAATAGAATCGTGCTATTCTTTGAATGAATTTGACATTAGGCTGTTGTCCGGTACCATACAGTGTAAAAGAAAAAGCACACAAGCTTTAGAAATGTTGTTGCTTCCCTCCCCCCTCTTTCTGCCCATCACAGACAGACCAATAACACAATGTACACAAGAAATCTGAGAGAGAGCCATCACTGACAAACAAAGAGATAAACGAGGTTTCTCTCTCTCAATATGCAGTCCCTGCTTATTTATTCAGTAAAGGCGAAGACAACAGACGCGTTGCAAAGGGCAGCCATGCCTCATCACATGTCAAAGGCACAGTGACACACAGCAAAATAAACACTACTATCTGCGATGAAACGCTGGCCGAATGCTCTTTTATTTCTTAAAAAATAAAAAAGATGCACTGGTTGACGGTCCAGTTAATATTTTGTACTCTGTAGCATCAAGACAGGGAAAAAAAAATGGAGGAATGCAGGAGGAAAGGCCGAGAAGACGTCTATGGATGGGGAGGGGGAAGAAATAGTCTTGCCTTCAGGCTATGAGTGGGGTGAAGAAGAAAAAGAGTAAAATGGAGCAAAGCAGTCTGCTGCCCTCTCCATAATACATGTCTGCCAGCTTTTCAGAAGCCCTTTTTAATTACGGCCCCTCGTGCAACATAGAAAAACATTGATTTTTATGACTCTGCTCTTTTAAAGTAACAAGGATATGAAATCTTGTTATGTATTTGCGAGTCACCTTAGGTTGTAACGTGGCACAAAGAGGGAGGGAAAAAGATTAAAGAGAAAGAACATGCATAATTCAAATTATTTTTCCCCCTACTGTATATCTTTGCACTTTCTGCTTAGACCTTGGTCGGCCCGTCGGTTGAATATCAGTTGTATTTAACATTTAACAGCTGTTAATGAATCTACAATAAAGGCCTTGCTGCTGATAGGGAGATAAAGGCCAGAGTGGTTTAAAAGAAGCGTGATGAACAATAAATTCAAACATTTGTGTGTGCTTTAATTAATTATTTAGAACCTCACATTTGGCCTAGTGTGCACACAAATGTTCTTTTATGATTCAGATAAGCAGTTACTCTCTTGTGTTGCCCTTATATGCCGCTGTCTCAGTTTGCTTAGTGAACCTTTTTTTTTCTTCATTTTTGTGTAAGGCTTCCTTTTTAACAAATAGTTACTGATATTGGCTCATCCAAAGTCATTTTATTTCTTTGTATTTTAAAAAGACTATCAGCACATTTGTCAAATGATTAGTTCAAAATAAAATAAAATGTTATTTATATATTTTTTTAATTTCATGCAGTACACAAAAATACCGTTTTCTCCAGCATTGTTTCAGGATATACGCAAATGAAAATCAATCATAATGTTTGTGTTGTTTGTGTGTGTGTGTGTGTGTGTGTTTTATCCTCAAAGACAAGCATATTTTTGATGCAGTAGCTTCAGAGGGCTTCTGGATCAACTACATTGTAAAATAGCCAAGTTTTTACAAAACCTTTTTTTTTTTTTTTTTTTCATGAACCAAATGGTTCAGATGGTTCTAGGAGTGCACTTTCAGTTCTGCATCGATGTCAGTGATTTATTTTTCTTTTCAATATTTTACATATCAAACATATTTTTGATAACAGTGGTCTAATAGCAAATTACCATAGTTACAACAGTCCTCATAACATTTACATACATATCACATTTTCACAGAACATATGATTACCATGGTAAATTTAAAGCACATACAGTATGTACACATCTAAAGTTTTACAGAGATTGTCATGCATTTTTCTTTTTTTTTGTATGCTAGCTTTTGTACAGATATTTTTATACATCTGTTTTTATACTGGTGAGCACCACTACATGATTTACATGATTTGTGTCAATACAGAATGATACATTTAAATGTAACCTTTATGGATAACTAAACTGTTAGGGGCTCATAATAATTATTATTATTTAAAAAAAGTAATAAAAAGAAAGAAAATTGTGTAGCCTACTAAGTCCAACTGAAATACATAAGAACGCACACAGAAAACAAAGAAATAATATTGTATACCCCCCCCATGTATAGCTACCCATTAAAGGGTTAAACTGTTACTGTTACACTATACAAAATAAAAATAAATGTTTTACTCAAAGTGCTATAAGAGAAGCTTCATCCAGTGATTATCCACAGTAAAATCTTTTAATTTGTTTAACAGTGGAATAGTAAATAGCCTGTTATAAGTGATATAAATTCAGTAAAGGTATTAGGTTGGACAGGTCTTCCTTACAGCACAAAGCATTACAGGCTGATATGAAATGATTTTAATGGAACACAAATGTGATGGCAGTTTGTTTACGTGCTGAGAGGTTCGTTTATATGCGCGCGCTTTATGTGGCGCCATAATAATAAATTATAAGGACAATTCAGTTTCACGCAAGAGAAAAAATGAAGAGATTCCCCCACCCCCGGTAAAAATGAATGTGTGATTTAGGATTGGCCCCCGCCCCGCATCACTTCGCCTCGGAGATTCAGATGCTGCTCAATGAAACAGACGGTGCGCCCGGACTCCTCTGACAGCGAATGGAAAATCACACCCGCTTCAACTTCACTGCGTCCAGTCACCAACTCTCTTATATCTTGCCCGTGAATTAGCTTATTTACAAGCGCCAGAAACGGACTGAATAGAGTTTCGTGCATATTTACAAGGGCTTTACTCAAATCATCACGGACAAGAAAAGACGCGCGCTGTTTTTGCTCACCAACGGGACGCTCGCGCTCAAACATCCACATTCGCTCGTAGCCGGTTATCCAGCCGCGTTTGCGCACACTCCGCTGGCTGCTTCAAGTCTTCATAACAGCAACCGACCCTGCTAAAGCAGTCTTTAAAACCCCGTGAAACTCGGCGGACAGGACAGGACGAGCGGACGCAAGCACGATGCAGCATCCCCTGACGGGCGGAACGTGCGTCGCCCTGCCAAACGTGGACATGTGTCCTCAGCTCTCCTGTGCCTTGACTTTCATGTACTTACAGCAGGTGAGTGAGCTCCTCTCCGAGCCCGCGGAATCCAGTGCGAATGTGCGAAACGCGGTTTATGGCAAGCCGTATTAGCATGCATAGTTATTACTAAGGTATAGTGGCTTTAATGTTTTTCAGTTTCACTAGTAACAATTCGTTAGATGCCTGTAGCTACTTATTCTGGTAAGCTAGTGGCTAGCTGCTAATTCATTAGGCTCTAGTACATCCTTTTCCACTAGTTATCTCAATAGTAACTATTCAAGTAGTGTATATTCCAAGCACTGGTACGGTTTAGACAATATTACATTTCAGTTGTTACTAGTAAGTTTAATTGAACTGTAAATTAGCTGTTTGGGCTAGTCATTATGTAAGACAAGTGAAAAGGCAACTGTTACTGTTGAGGTAAGATATGTTGGGCATAACAATTGGGATAGTTTCTGATAAGCAGGTGCTAGTAACTAAAAAAGACTAGTAAATCTGGGGCCAGTTGCATAAACTTCTTAGATTAGTTTTAAGAAGTTAGTCATCTTTTTTTTCAAGACAGGCCATTAACTTTTTTAATTCGGTTACAAAATGGTAGATTGGTGTGATTTAAATCTGAAAAGTATGACTGATTACCTCTTGGTTAACTGCTAGTTGGTCAAACTAGTTCTTAAGACAGTATTAACTTAGCGGCTGTTTATGCAACTGGCCCCAGGAATACATTCAAGTCACTATTAGAGATATTATAGAATCTAATGAATTTGTAAACTTGTGAAACTTCAAATGTTACTATAGTTGCTGTTGGGTTACTTACTGCTAATTAAATAAACAAGTGCTAGTAACTTGAAAAATAGATACTAGTTAGTAAGGAATAAATGTTCAAGCGGCTTGCCACAAACAGCGTGCGTTGTGAGTGTGGGTGTGCCACCAAGTGTAAGTGGAACACAGATGAAATTGGATAGTTTGGTAAGAGAGGGATTTTGTCTACTAGTGTGTTGGCGTTTTGGTCGTGCATCTTTTGTGAATCATTTTAAATAATCTGACATGTCATCTGTTTTGAATAAGCCTTAAAAGTAGTCTATATATAACTACGCATCCTAAGGTTGTTTGAAAGAGTGTGAGCTGATTTTCCACTTCTTGTAGAGCTAAAACACTTCATGTGATAAACAATTCTGCTGACTCTTATGACTTTGCTACATGATATCCCCATGTGCTCAGCATATTGTGTGTGCGCATGTGTCTGTTTAATGCGTTTTTCTTTAGTTCTCGATTTTTTGATGTGTGTTTTTTTTTTTTATAATTAATCTTATTAGATTATATTTAAATCTCTTTTATGATTAACTTATTGCACAGTAAAAAAAAAAAAGATTTTTAATTTAGAGTCATTAATGTGCTAGACTGCACCCTTGGGCGTCTTTTCATCCCCTGATTATCTGATACACTTGATTGTCATCAGTGCCTTTTCCAAACAGTGGGTCGGCTCCTAGAGTGATGACAATTCAAGGGGATTTATCAAATCAAAAGTTAATCTATGGTATTGATCAGTCATCAGATCCTATGTGCCAGTGCATGTCTCTCTCCAGACTCGACGTGACTGAGATCAGTGATCTCATTTAACTTTCATCTGTCGCACCGAGCCACCATTAACCTTCAGTGACATCTCTAACCTTTGTCTTATCCAATAGAAATTGCATTCCATGTCAGTTTAATTGCAAATACTTCTGAGTGATAAATATATTTTTTTCTAACAAAGAGACAGGTTTTAATTCTCTAATCAAGCCAGAGTATATCAGTCATTCATTTCTATGGGAGAACAGATGCTACTTTAAATGTATGATGCTTCAGTACCAGGTTACATGAAGTGAAGATTAACTGTCATTTTAATCATTTTTCTTGTTATCATGAAAGTTGCTTTGTTTCTATATCAGTAATTTTGTTTTATTTTTTTAGTTTGAGTTTGTATTTGGCAAAATCCTTTTTCTTTTCTTTTAGCTGGGATTGGTGTTCTAAGATCATCGTGACATAGAGGTTGATTTACTTGATTTTTAGTTTTCTGTTTCTCAAATATTTATGTGCCTGCACAAGCATTTCTGTTTTTCCGTGTGTGAGTGTGTGTGCGCGTTCACGTGTGCTGAGTGAACTGGGAATCTGGGTTTTTGCGACTATTTATAGCTGAGATGCAAGACATTTTGAATACATCTCACCACAGCTGGAGTTTCATTCAGGACTAGGCACAGACGACGCGACTTTATTTTTTTTTCTCGATTTGCTTTCTTTACATGTGGTGTCACGTGTACGTGGCATGCGGAACGGTGTTGTCTAGGAATAGCTTATGTTTTATTGTGTATCAGCAGGACCTGTAAACTGGAAGTTCTTATGGATTGTTTGTATCCAGTGGCAGAATTATTTTCATCAATGCAAATAATTACTTAATAAAACCGGAGCGTCTCTTAGCGACAGCTTCATGTCGAACAGAGACGTTTAATTATTTGCTTCTATTAAAAGGCCCAGCAGTCAGTGCATATATAGCATATGTTATCCCTATGTATATGTGTGCTTTTCCCTGCACATTTTACTAACGCTATTTGTTTGCGTTCACCCTCAGGACTAGGGCGTTTTGTACAGTGCTTGTGTCAGTAGCGGGGCAGGATTAAGCAGCTGCCAGATAGACCTCACCTGACCCTTAAAGCTGGGGGCGTCCTGCACCCGCTCCTATCTCCCTCCTGCCGCAGGACCCCAGCCTGACCTGGAGTGGGCGGTGTGGGAGGTGTGGTCGCCTGGTCTTCACGGCTCAAATCAATCCAGCCCAAAGTCACATGGCTCTAGCTTTCTTTCAGCAGATCTTTTATGGCCCCCATCTTACTCTCTCTCTCTCTTCGCTGCTCCCATCTGTGCTGACTATGCGTAACTGCTCCTCTCTCTTTCCTTTCCATTACATCTGCTCAGTGCTGTTCATTTATTTAAGTACCCAGCGCACCCATACACCATCACGCCTCCTGGACACTTTTGCTTTTCACTGTTTCTTTCTCAAAAGGCTCATGCATCAAAGTAATAAAAATAAAAACCGTGATTCAGACCAGGTGACGTTTTGTAGAGGTGTATTTTTGTGTAGTATGACGCAAAACACTCCGTTTAGGGGCTAGTCTATGGAGCTGGTGTGTGTGTGTGTGTATGTATGTATGTATGTATGTTAACACTAGATATTAATGCAGCATAATTCATTTTTTTTCTGTACACTTTTTGACTGTAATTATGTACAGTACTGCTAGAGAGGTGAAATGCTATACTAAATACTATAAATGCTATAAATGGTATACTAAATTGAAAGACCCTTTTAAAATTAAAATATACTTCTAAATTAATCTGTTTTTTTTTTTATTATGATGAACATGTTTTTATTCGGCTTTTGTAACTTTTTGTTCTTTTGAAAGACTACATGGAATGTTTGTAGTTTGTAGGGCTTTTTAAATGAATAATAATAATAAAAAAAAACACTTAAAAACCAAACAGGTTACCTGTTACAGAACCTTAGATACACTCGTACATTCATGAAGCATTTGAGAAAATCTTCTTGAAAAAGGTCTTGTTATGTGTCAACTACCCATTCAAAAGAAAGGCTTGTGTCAATTTAAAAAGTGCTGCTTTATTTCTTTAATGGCTCTTTTGGCTTCAGTGTTTATATTATTTTTCTCCCCTCAGTCCTAAGTCTCATCAAAAGAGTGGTGTTCAGATTTCATTTAAATTCAGACATTCCGCCAAATCAAATTATGGTTAATTTCATTATTTCATTTTTGAAATAGTGTTGGAAATCAATTGCCGTTTTCTTCCCAGGTTAGCATGACACATGAAGTGATTGATGCTGATTTTCAAAAGTATTCTAAGCGTCAAAAACAAATTGGAGATGATTAAGAGCTCAGGTCTGAGAGTGAACCAGTCCTTTCATTGTGCTGGGGGAGTTTTCTGAAAGGGCAAATATGCAGAGAACGATATAAGCATGTTCAAACAAAGACAGTGAATTTAACATTTAACCTTCAATTTGAAAACCAACCCCGCCATAGATGCTGTAGTTTTGTGTGTGTGTTTTGTTTTTAGAGCTAATCTCTGATCTTTTCAATCAACATGCATTAAAAGCTAACCAGAAAGTTTAATTTGTATTGTTGCATGGCATTGAAATCTATATCCTTGGCTCTTTGTGTAGCGCTTCATTTATTCCATCCTCTTCCCATCTCGCAGCCCTCAGCAAGTCGCTGAAATGAGAGATTGGTCATGTCATCAAGTCCTGATGAGTTTTCAAACCCTTCAGTAAGCATTGACAGGCAGGTAAAGGCCAGGGCTATTGCGCTTGTCATGGGCCATGACTCTAAATGATCACATCCTTTTGTCTGCTCTGTTTGCATGCTCTTAGTGGAAGTTGGTTATTGCTTGAATGCAAACAAGAGGGTAGTGAATGTCCTAGGTCATGTGTGCGTGTTGTGCACTGGTGCATGGCCCTCTGGGAGAGAGAGATAGAGCGCAAGGCAGAGGAAGAATGAGGTGGGAGATTGCTGAGGGACGAGAGGGAGAGAGAGAAGCGACGTGTGTATGGAAATGGGGGCGGAGACCATCTGCCGGGCCTTGCTGGGCACATGTGTTCCTGTTTGTGTGTTTGTGTGTAGAAGAGTGATTAGTCTCTCACGTTCATAATAATGTCTGTTTGCTTTTGCAGCTGTTGCACAATTTACCAATCCTCTCCCTGTCCCTTTTTTTTTTTTTTTGCGTGGCTGCATTGCAAAGGCACCCTCTGTTCTCTGTGAGCATTTTACAGTTCAGTTGAAGCATTATAAAGTGGCGGTGGTTTTGTTTAAAGCACTGCTCCTTTTTTTTAAAATGAAGATTACATGTCAAGTAGTTTAGTTGAGCCTATCAGCTGAAACTACAGTCACAGAACTGCTGATTGTTTTGAATTCATGTACAAGTAATTTTTTATGTAATAATAAATAAGGAAGTACATTTTTAATAGATAGATAGATCGATAGATAGATAGATGACATTTTTAT